GGAAAAGAAGAAAGGAGGAAGAAAAAAGGAAGGAAAAAGAAGGAGTAGGCTTCGCGGTCAACAAGTATCCTTAGACGACACAGTATAAGAAATCCTCTTACTTTGTCTCAAGCAGGTGTCGTGGAGGTTGTCGTGTGATCGTTGTGCGATTGCATAGACAAATCACATCTACGTCTCGGGACAGCTAAAAGGAGAAAAGATCTCAACAATTTCACAGGAACATCGGAAAAATAAATTTTGTAGAATTCATATCGTCTCAAAGCAGTTTTAGTACTATCGACTCACCTGTGCAGTCCGTGCCGCTTGACAGAGGATTGTGTATGGAGCGAAGACACTCTTGAGAACAGCAACCTGAAAAAAGCGTGCCTCATCGAGTGACGTCCTGAGCCAAAAGCTAATTGCTTCGGGAAAATGTGTACCGTGGGAGTACAGTCTTGTTCGGTGCGGATGCTGGGCTTCTCAGAAGGGCGAGGGCTGAGTTGCGCAGCGCCGACCCATTCTCCACCGACTGTTGCGCTTGGCTCGCTTCAGCAATCCGTGGAAGGCGTGTAGGCGCAGCGCCAAACCCAGCCCCCATGACACGCCCCAGCATTCGCAGCGAACAAGACTGCAGTTGACAGAACCCTGCTGCAGCTCTGCTAAGACACCCACCTTTTCCGGCACATTCTCGATTTGTGCTAGTGAAAAGAGCGCTTCGATCCAATGCACGGCAGCGAATAGGTATCGTCGAAGTGCTGAGGCCAACTGCTCCACTGACGCCACTCGTTCCATAGTGTAACCCATCTGAAAGCAAGATATGGATTTGAAAATAACAAGCTGAATCTCTATAACCTGTAAGCAACTCTCATTGACAGCGAGATTCGCAAAGGCCAAAATAGTCCCGTTAGAGAAGGGTACCAACGATGCATGTATCAGAGTTCACGTCAGAACTTAAAGACACATTCCATGCTGATTGCTGAGCGTACAGTGTCTCTTGGAACGGTCAGTAAAGGCCCTTCATGCTGCTTGAGCGCTTCAGGCCCTTTTTTGTTTCACTTTCACTCCAGTC